GGCGCAGCAGGGCAGCACAGGGCTGGGTTTGGGGGTCTCTCAGCAGTGTAGGGTCTCAGGGTGATTTTGGGATGATTTTTGGGATGATTTTTGGGGTGATTTTGGGGTGATTTTTGGGGTGATTTTGGGGTATTTCGGGGTTCCTCTCACCACAGTAAGGTTGTTGTTCAGCGGCTGGAAGGCGCAGCACAGCAGCGCAGGGCTGGGTTTGGGGGTCTCTCAGCAGTGTAGGGTCTCAGGGTGATTTTGGGATGATTTTGGGATGATTTTTGGGGTGATTTTGGGATGATTTTTGGGGTGATTCTGGGATATTTCGGGGTTCCTCTCACCACAGTAAGGTTGTTGTTCAGCGGCTGGAAGGCGCAGCAGGGCAGGGCAGGGCTGTGTTCGGGGGGATGTTTGGGGTCTCTCAGGGCTGTGATTTTGGGGTGATTTTTGGGATGATTTTTGGGGTGATTCTGGGATATTTCGGGGTTCCTCTCACCACAGTAAGGTTGTTGTTCAGCGGCTGGAAGGCGCAGCACAGCAGCGCGGCGCCGTCGGGGTCGGGCACGCGGCGGATGCAGCGCCCGTCGGCGGGGTCCCAGAGGCGCAGGGTCCCGTCCAGCGAGGCCGACACCAGCACGTCGTTGGACAGGGACCAGGCGAAGTCGGAGACGCCGGCGCCGTGGCCGCGGAGCCGCCGCAGCACGGCCGGGGGCCCCGGCGCCAGGCGGCACACGGACAGCGTCCCGTCCAGGGAGCAGCACGCCAGGAGGTGCCGCTCGTCGTGGGCAAACTGCACCTTCCGCACTGGGGAGGGGGAAAGGAGACCCCTCCTCAAAATTCCATAGGGTCTGGAACCCTCCAGAACAAAGGGATCACCCCCAGAGCGAGAGGAACCCCCAGACCCACCCAGAAGGTTCTGCTTGTGGTGGGCAAACTGCACCTTCCGCACTGGGGAGGGGAAAGGAGACCCCTCCTCAAAATTCCATAGGGCCAGGAACCCTCCAGAACAAAGGCAAAGGGAGCAGGTGAGACCCCTCCTCAAAATTCCATAGGGTCAGGAACCCTCCAGAACAAAGGGATCACCCCCAAAGCGAGAGGAACCCCCAGACCCACCCAGCAGGTGCCACTTGTGGTGGGCAAACTGCACCTTCCACAGTGGGGACGGGGAAACGAGACCCCTCCCCAAAATTCCATAGGGCCAGGAACCCCCCAGAGCCAGGGGAGACCCCCTAGAACATGGGGGAGCCCCCAGCCCACCCAGCAGGTGCCACTTGTGGTGGGAAAACTGCACCTTCCGCACTGGGGAGGGGGAAAGGAGACCCCTCCTCAAAATTCCATAGGGTCAGGAACCCTCCAGAACAAAGGGATCACCCCCAGAGTGAGAGGAACCCCCAGACCCACCCAGCAGGTGCCACTTGTGGTGGGCAAACTGCACCTGCCGCACTGGGGAGGGGGAAAAGGGGACGGGTGAGACCCCTCCCCAAAATCCCACAGAGAGGGGATTCCCCCCAGACCCCCTTCAGGTGAGAGACTCAGACCCCTCCCCACCCTTCTCATGGAAAGCCCCACTCCCACCCCCTCAGGGACACCTGAGAGCCCTGAAACCCCCCCAGAGC